TTTCCCCTTTGCAGTCCTCCAGGAGATTTGTAATATATGTTGGTGCTCCCATATTGGGTGCATATATGTTTACCAAGGTTATAGCTTCCTGTTGGATAGATTCTTTCAATATTATATAGTGGCCTTTTTTGTCTCTAGTTATGGCCTTCATTTTGAAATCTACTTTATCAAATATGAGTATTGCTACCCCAGGTTTTATTTCCTTTCCGTTTGCTTGAAAGATTTTTTTCCATCCCTTCACTTTCAACCTATGTGAGTCTTTTGTTGTGAGGTGGGTCTCTTGTAAACAACATATATGTGAGTCATGCTTTCTTATCCAGTTAGCTAACTCTGTCTTTTTATCGGAGTATTCAAACCATTCACATTTAAGGAGATAATTGATATGTACGTATTTATTGCCATTTTTGTTTAGTGTGGTTCTATTTTTTTTTTTCTTATTTCTTCTACTAATTACAGCAATCCTTTTAGCATATCTTGCAGTGCTGGTTTGGTGTTAATATATTCCCTTAGCCTTTTTTTTGTCTGGAAAGCTCTTTATCTGACCAAGAAGAACAATTTTAAAATCTTATTCATCAACTCTATTGTATCTCTCATAAACTCTAGACCATTCCCACGTGAAAAATTATTTGGGGTGTTTTTTTTTTGTTGTTTTTTTTTTTAATCCTCACCCGAGGACATTTTTCCATTTTTTGTACAGATAGAGTGGGAGGGAGAGAGAGGAAGGGAGAGAGAGAGAGAAACATCGACGTGAAGGGACACATCGAGTGGCTGCCACCCGCATGACCAACCAGGGCTGGGGACAAACTGCAACCGAAGTACGTGCCCTTAGCGGAACCGAACCCGGGTCTCTCCAGACTGCAGGTTGACGCTCTAACTGCTGAGCCAAACCGGCCAGGGCAGGGTGTTTTTTTGTGTGTGTTTTTTTTTTTTCACCTTCTCACATAAAAGCACTATATGGCACTGCCCAACATCCTACTATTTTATCCTCCTTTGGCAGTTTTATCTTTGATGCTATTAGAGTTCTCCTTCCCCTACCTCCTCCTCATCATGTTAGAGGTCATAGTTCCTTGGTTCTCCTGTTTCCTCACTCTACTTTTTCTTTTTCTTTTTAAATTGTTTGTGCTTTATTGAATTTTAGGGAGAAGGAGAGAGAGATAGAAACATTGATAAGAGAGAACATCGATTGGCCACCTCCTGCATGATCCCCACTGGGACTCTGACCCACAACCTGGGCATGTGCCCTGACTGAGAATCAAACTGGAGACTTCTTGGTGCATGGTTGATGCTGAACCACTGAGCCACACTGGCCAGGCTCTCACTGTACTTTCTTGGAGATGACATCTACTCTACAGGTTCAACAACCACCAATAGGCAGACTGCACACATGTATTTAATTCTCTCATGCAAGCCTCTCCTCTAAGTTGTAAACTGAGTATTCTTCTCCCTATCTGACATCATCTGTTGAGAATCCCAAAGTCATCTCAAATTTACCAAGCTCCAGATTAAATTCCTTCTCTCCAGTCCTTCATTTCTCTCTACCTCAAGACGTTCAGGTGTCTATTCAATGATTGCTACCTCCATCCATCTGGTTTCAGAATCTCGACATAGCTAGCTATCTTGGACAGCTTCCTTTCCTCCCTCCATGTATCCAGCCCATCCTAAGGTTTTTGTTTTTCCACCTAAATAACATTTAAGTTCAGTCACTTCTTTACATCTTTTCAGTCACCATCTAAACTCAGGTGACTCTCACATTTCACCTACTCTGCCACATCCTAATTTGTCTTTCCCACCTACCTCCACCCAGCCCATTGTCTATATTTTGTCCAGAGTAATGTTTTCTCAGCCATCATGTGTTTTTATTGTAGCATATAATGCATTTACATTTAAAGTAAGTAATAGGTACATATATTTATTGCCATTTTCTTAAAAAAATTTTTCCCCTTCTTTCTTGATTTTAGAGAGGAAGGGAGAAGGAGGAAAATGTAGAAACATTGATGAGAGAGAACACTGATTGGCCACCTCCTGCAGTCCCCCCACTGGGGATTTGGCCCACAACCTGGGCATTTGCCCTGATGGGGAATTGAACCTGCAACCTCTTGGTGCATGGGTCGATGCTCAACCATTGAGCCTCACTGGCTGGGCTAATGACATTTTCTTAATTGTTTTTACAGTTCTAAATTGTTTTTACTGTTCCTTTTCTTCACTTGATCTCTTCCCTTGTAGTTTGCTATTTTTTTTTTTTTAAGGTTTCTTTCTTTCTCTTCTTTATACATCTTTTGTTGGGTTTTGTTTTTTAATTTCCCCAAGGTTTATGTATATCATTCTTTATTTATAGCAGTCTATTTTTAGCTGATAGGTGGTTAAGTATGAATATATTTTATAAGAACTACATTTTTTCTCCCTCCTCCATGGTTTATGTTATCAATGTCATATTTTATAACTTTTGTGTTGTGTATCTCCTAACTACTTATTATAGTTTGAATTGAGCTTGATACTTTTTTTTTTTTAACTTTGTAGTAGCTTTTTAAATATTGGATTGTTGTATTTATTGAATATTGGACTTAAGAGTTTTTTTGGGTTTTTTTTCCTTATTTTTCTTGTTTCTGGTTATGACCTTTCCTTTTCTGCTTAAAGAAGACCCTTTAATATCTATTATAAAGCTACTTTAATGGTGATGAAGTCCCTTAAACTCTTTCTTGTCCTAGAAACTCTTTCTCTCTCCTTTACTTCTGAATGATAAACCTTGTTGGGCTGTAGCTTCCTTTCTTTAAGTACTTTTAAGATGTCCTGCCGTTCCCTTCTGGTCTATAAAGTTGCCGATAAAGTAGGTGATAGCCTTATGGGCTTTTATTTGCTTGGATTTTGCTTTTTGCCAGCTTTCCCACTTTCTCTTGGGAAAGAGACAGAATTCTGTAACATTACCTACAAGGCTCCATTTGGTGTAGCCATTGCTAAGACCAAAACTCATCCCAAACTCTCATGACTTTTTAGCACAGGCCCCCTTAGGACACTCATGCTCCATCTTACCCTCTCAGTACAAGGCCTTTGCACATGCTAATCTCTCTATGCTCTGCTTGTCACCCACCTAACATTGTCATCATCAAATAGCTACTCAGTCATCGCTGTTTATGGACAGGCTTCTTCAATTTGCAACCAGGTCAAATCTTCTTGTGGCACTGTGTCCTAACTCTCTTCTTCATAACATTTACTTGAGTGATTCATGATTAACAACAGTCTTCACCACAAGACTAGAAGCTCCACAGGTGTGGAATCATGTTTATTTTCATCAATGTGTCTGCAGCAGTCAGAACAGCTCCTGGCAATAGTGGGCATTTATCAACTATTTGTGGATTGAATGGACAGCTATAATACGTCCCGTTGGACTATTCTTTTTCAAATGACATGCACGAGATTGAAGCAAATCTCCTAAACCTGAAGAAATGGCATTGGCAGCATGTGTTGTGGCTTTGTGTGTACCTGTGTGCAATAGCCCTTGTGGGGTGGCTACTACTTGTCCACAGGCAGTTGATGGTAAACAGAGTTAACTGTAAGCCAAATTGGGAAGTTTTCTCTGTGTTTTAACTGCCTCTGTTTCTGTCCCCTTTTGCTCTCTGCTCTCAAACTCTTTATTTTAAAACAGGAAAATACCTGACACCAGATATTTACACTTATTTTCATCACGAGTCTCCACCTTCTGTGCCATTTTCTCCCCTTGGCATTGATCCTTTACCTTGTCACCTTAAGTCTTGTCATTTTAGTGTCTGTCTTCTAGTAGAAGGGTGTGGTGTGAGGGGTCATTTCACATTTCCTTGCCCTCCATTTTTCTAAATTTTTTCTGGGATCATGTTGGTCTAGAGCTGCTGGGAACACATCCTCAGGGCCTGTGGAGGGGAAGAAGGACTGGTCCTGTTTTCACTGACTTCAACGAGGATTAAGCCTAGCAGAGCTGTTGAGGTTTGTGCAGGATGTTTTTCTGCACAAGATCACTTGGACAAATAGGTGGGGGTGGTGACCGTGACTAAAATCTAGTGCATGACCTGCTTGCCAAGCCATGTGCCCTATGTTGGTATGCCTCCACCTGGGAAGGAGTGTCCTTTTCTAAATTGTGCAGAATCACCATAAGAGATAAGCAGTGCTGTGGACTATCTTATTCTCCCATGGGGCTTGCAATAAGACTTCCTCCCACCATGCCCTCTCCTCTGGCCTTGTCCTGTCTGCCTTTCCCGAACTCCTCTTGAAACTGCCCCTCAGCTCCTGGTCTGTCCTCCTTTCTCTCATAACTCAAATTCATATTTTATATTTTATAATAACACTGATATTTTTATTATATATTTCTTTCCATATTTTGCCTTTACATATTTTTTGTTATACATATCAAAATTACACAGTCAAATGGTTCTACCAGACTTTTCATGAGAAATAGCAGACCCTGACCTGTTACACATCACCATTTTCTACTCTTCGTTCATATGTATGTGCAACACATACGTATCAAGGACCTTCTATGTGCCACATACTGCTCTGGGTGCCTGGGATATATTAGTGCATAACACAGACAAAAATTCTTGCCTGCGCCCAGCTGGTGTGGCTCAGTAGTTGAGCATCAACCCATGCATCAAGAGGTCACCAGTTCGATTCCCGGTCAGGGCACACGACCCGGTTGTGGGCCCAATCCCCAGTGGGGGGCATGCAGGAGGTGGCCAATCGACGTTCTCTCTCATCAATGTTTCTATCTCTCTCTCCTTCTCACTTCCTCTCTCTCTAAAATCAATAAAGAAAAATGATTTAAAAAATATTTTTCCCTTAAAATAAAAAAAAATAAAATTCTTGCCAACATGGGACTTTTATCAGAGTAGGGAGGCACAGATAAAAAACAATACGTATAATAAATAAGTAGATTATATATTATGTGCCACTATTGTAGGAACTGGGGTGGAAAACCAGGTCAAGGGGAGGGGAATTCTGAGCATGGGAAGGAGGTGCAGATAGAATTCTAAGACATCGCTTAATCTTTTGGCTAAGATCAAGTGTAGTATTTTCTTATCAGTTTAATATCTGATATGTCCTCTATCTGAGGACAATATATTGCATGGATTTTTGAACTAGAAGATGGAATAGGAGCTTGATCCATCCACTATACGCATCCACCTGGTATTGCAGTACATCCAGGAACAGTGCACCCCCTGCCCCCCAAATCTAAGATAGGCCTCACTGAGAAAGACCTGAGGGAGTGAAAGTTTCTCTGTCCAAATATCTGGGCAAAGTGTGACAGGCAGGACAGACAGCCCAGAACAGCCGCGCAGGCAGCCATGCCTGTTCTATACAAGGTAACCTCAGAAGTCAGCGTGATGGAGACAGAGGCAGCAAAAGGGAGAAGAAGAGACGAGAACAGTCAGGTAAAGAGGAAGTAAATCATGTAGAGCTTGAAAATAAGGACAACTCATAACTTGCAGAGTACAGTGATACCTCGGTTCTCGAACATAATTCGTTCCAGGAGGATGGTCGAGAACCGAATTGTTCGAGAACCGAAGCAATGAAACCAATAGGAAAGCGGACTCCACAAAGCGTGACTCTCTCTGCACTCACACTGATGACGCAAGCAAGGCGCGCTGGGCCGAATGAACGCCATTCGGCTCATCTCGGAAGTTCGAGTTCCAAATATTTGTTCGGATTCCGAGACAAAAGTTTCTCGAATCTCCATTTGGTCGAAAACCGGGGCGTTCGAGAACCGAGGTATCACTGTAGTTTCTTTTGTTATTTAGCATATATTGTAAAATAATGTTAATTTTAATTTTTAGGTTTTAAGTGGCTCTTTTCTTCCTATTTTAGATGACAAGGTTTAACTTTTTCACCTACCCATGCCCACCTTCAACATACATTTCTCCCTCTCTCATTTTCCCAATATAGTTATATCATAATTTTATTTAGATCGATCTCAATAATCCTATTGTTATAACCATGCAGATGTTTTTCACAATTGATTGGTGTAGTACACTTTCTCTTTATCATTTGGTTTCTGTGGAGGTTTGGCTACTCCAGAGGTTCTCTATGTGTGGTGCCTAGACGCTGAGGGTCCCCAAGAATTTTTAGGGGGTCCACAAGGTCAAAACTGGAGTGATATGTACACATTAAAGCTACAGTAGCAAAAACTTCTGGTGAATGTTAGTGCAAATACAAGCAGTGGCATCAAACTTGAGTAAAAGTCATTGTGCTGTTCCTCAGTGCAAGGTGTTCTCAGTGGAAAGACGCAACAAAAACAAACAAAGCAAAACGGTACAAGGCCAGTTTCTCGTTAAATGGCATTAATGAATCAGTAAAAACTGCAAATTGTATTAGATCTTAACTCGTGAGTACATGCCCTCTTATTACTGTGGTAAAAGAAGTACGCACAAAGCACTCCTGCCCGCTGAAGTACCGTGTTTGCCTCTAGAAAACCCACTTTGCAGTTGAGTTCCCAGCTGAAGGAGCTACTTGTTTCATGGAGCAACATCTTCACTTGAAAGAACACAGGACAAATAGAATAAGCAGTCCTGAATATTTGGGAGACATTTTCTTGAAACTGAACAAAGTGAGCCAGCTGTTTTAAGAAAACCAACTGACAGTATTTATTGTCAGGGATTTAAAATGTGAGTTTTAATTTAATGAAAATTTAAATTAAAAAAAAAACACTTGAGTATGCTGCCATGAGCTAAGTGTCCCAACACTTAAAGACTTTTCTGCCCGGCCAGTGTGGCTCAGTGGATTGAGCACCATCCCATGGACTGAGAGGTTCTGGTTTGATTCCTGATCAGGGCCCATGCTTGGTTGCAGGCTCCATCCCCAGTAGGGGGCGTGCAGAAGGCAGCCAATCAATGGTTCTCTCTCACATTGATGTTTCTATTTCTCTCTCTCCTGTCCTGTCTCTCTAAAAAAATCAAGAAAAACATATTTAAGAAAAAGATTTTTCAATGAGATTGGTGGTATATAAATTAATGTGATTATTTGCTATTTTATAAATAAGTGCTTTAACATTCGGAAGACCCGCAGAACTCAAACAATATTTTCCAAATGATTGTTGTGTAATATTACAAAATTTCGCAGAATACAAGAAGAGGAGAGACCAATAAATTTTAATGTAAGAATATAAAAAGTTTATTGATATGGTTTCAGATTTGACATTGCAACTAACTACTAAGATACTCTTAATTCTGAGTTTTGGTATCATATCAAAAAGGAATGTACAGTTATCTAAAAGATTATTAAAAGACTTCTCTTTTCCAATCACATATGTGTGGAACCTGATTTTCTTCATATGCTTCAATTAAAGCAACATATCACAAAACATTGAATACAAAAGCAAATATGAGAATCAAGCTGTCTTCTCTTTACTCAGGCATTCAAGAGATCAGCAAGACAAGTAAAACAAGGCTATTTTTCCCATTAAATTTTATTTTGTTTTGAAAAATGGATTATTTGTTCCTAAAACATGTTATTTATATTAACACATTATAGGTTTATTATTATTTTAAATTTCTAATATGCATATTTCAAATATTTCAATAAAAAAAGATTTGGGGGATAATCAGTAATTTTAAAAAATGTATAGAGGTTTTGAGCACCAGAAAAATTGGGGAACCACTATTGTTCAGGACACCTGAGGATGACTGTCCCCTCTTCACTGTTCAGTAGTACTCTCCCTCTACATCCTGAGAACTGTGCAAAACACATCAGCTCTCTCTTGATGATGTGCAAAGGAAGGTGTACTTTAAGGTCCTTTAGGCATAAGAGAAAGTTTTTGATTATCAAATAAAAAAGCACCTGAAAATGGTTTGTGTATTGAGCAGAATAATAATCCAAGTTGACATCCCTCTTGGCAGCCACAGCTCCAGGTGTCTGTATGGCTTCATAGAAATCAAACACCCAGAACACAGGTGTGTGTTGGCTATACAGCTAAAGCAAAGCAGAAATTTGAATCAGTTTGCCAGAAACTTCTTTTTACTTTCAATTATTCTTTCATTGCTTTCTTAAATATCTTTTCTTCTGAAATATGTTAATTCAGAAGCAATTTTCTTATCAACATGTTTTCCTTATTGTATTTTTTCAAATACTTGAGTGATGATAAGGTGAGGTGGGGTATGTGCTATGGGAAGTTTTCTCTACAATAATTTTGAGTTTTAATTAAAATGTTTATTTTCTTTTGGAAATATATGTGGCGCTACACTATCATAAAATTACAGTGAATCTATCCATGGGAAACTCTAACTTCTATTAGTTTTGGGTGTAGAGCATAATGATTATACATTTATATAACTTATGAAGTGAGCTCCCATTAAGTCTAATACCCACCTAACACCATACATAGTCATTACACTATTATTGACTATATTCCTTATGCTCTACTTACATCCTCATGACTATTTTGTAATTACCAATTTGTACTTCTTAATCTCCACATTTTCACCATGACCCTTTTTCCATCTGGCAACTATCAGTTTGTTCTCTATATGTATGAGTTTGTTTCTGTTTTGTTTGTTTGTATATTTTGTTTTTTAGATTCCACATGTAAGTGAAATTATATGGTATTTGTCTTTCTCTGTCTGACTTATTTCACTTAATATAATATCCTCTAGTCCCATCCATGTTGTCACAAATGCTAAGATTTCATTCTTTTTATGGCCAAGTAATATTCCATTGTGTATATGTACCACCTTTTCTTTATTCGATCATCTATTGATGAACACTTCAGTTGCTTCCATATCTTGACTATTGTAAATAATACTGCAGTGAACATAGTGGTGCATATATCTTTTCAAATTAGTGATTTGGATTTTGTTGGATAAATACCCAGAAGTAGGATTGTTGAGTCACTCCTACTTTTTAAAAGTTTTTTTTTGAGGAATCTCTATACTATTTTCCATAGTAGCTGCACAGATTTGCAATCCCACCAGCATTGCACAAGGGTTCCCTTTTCTCCACATCCTCATCAATACTTGTTGATTGTTGATTTATTGATGATAGCAATTCTGACTATCAGGTATGAGGTGATAGCTCAATGTGGCTTTGATTTGCATTTCTCTCATGGTTAATGAAGTTAAGCATCTTTTGATCTATTGGCCATCTGTATGTTCTCTGTGGAAAAATGTCTATTCAGGTCCTCTACCATATTTAAATCAGATTTTTTTGTTTTATTTTGTTTTGGTGTTAAGTTGTATAAAATCTTTATATATTTTGAATATTAAACCATTTTTGGATATTAAACCATTGGCCAAATATTTTCTTCCATTCAATAAGTTGACTTTTTGTTGGTTTCCTTTGCTGTGCAAAATGTTTTAGTCTGATATAGTCTCATTTGTTCATTTTTATTTTCCTGTTTCCCTAGCCAGAGGAAATTTATCAAAAAACAAACAAACAAACAAACACAAGAGAGATTAATAAGACAGTGTCAAAGAATTTATTGTCTATTTTTTTGTTCTAGGATTTTTATGGTTTTAGGTCTTACATTTAAATTTTTAATCAATTTTGAGTTTATTCTTGTATATGGTGTAAGAAGGTGGTCTAGTTTTATTCTTTGGCAAGTATTTATCTAATTTTCCCATCACCATTTATTAAATAGCCTGTCTTTTTTCCATTGTATATTCTTGTTATATAATAATTGACCATATAGACATAGGTTTATTTCTGGGCTATTTATTCTTTCCCATTGAGCTGTGTGTCTATTTTTATGCTAGTACTGTACTGTTTTGATTACCAGAGACTTGTAATATAGTTTGCTATCAGGTAGAGTGATACTTCCAACTTTGTTGTTCTTTCTCAAAATTCACCTGTGGCTATTTGGAGTTTTTGTTGTTCCATACAAATTTTAGGGTTATTTGTTCTAATTCTGTGAAAATGTCATTTATAGTTTGATAGAGATTGCATTGAATCTATAAATTGCTTTGGGTAATATGGGCATTTTGATGATGTTAATTCTGCCTATCCATGAGCATAGTATATACTTTCATTTAATTGTATCTTCTTCATTTCTTTCTTGAATGTTTTATAATTTTTTAAGTATAGGTTTTTACCTCTATGGTTAAATTTATTCCTACATATTTTATTTTACTTTTTGATGCATTTGTAAATGAGATTGTTTTCTTAATTTCTATATCTGATAGTTTGTTTTGGTGTATAAAATGCAAATTCTGAATATTAATTTTGTATCTTGCT